CCATATTCTCTGTCTTCCACTATGCTGATTTCTTTCTCCAACCACAAAGACCTCTGCAACACTTTTGAGCTTTAGGAATACTGTGAAGCTTATTATAAGTGTTGGGGAATTAACCTTTTAAAAAAGAGAATTTCTTTGGAAATTAAGACACCCAGTGTACTTGGCACGCTTTTGTTTTTAGCTGTCTTTCTTGACTCTTCCATTCCTTTCTTCTATTTTAGCCTACTAGAGCTGTTGTATTTAGAAGAGAATGGTGATATATTCACAGTCATTAACACCTTTAAACAGCTGAGCTGTGGAGAAAAAGGTGTTCATGAGCAAAGCTATATTTACCATATTTTCTATACATTTCTTTTCCTTTTTTTTTTTCTTTGAATTCTTTTCTTGGAGATTACTTTTAAAGGTTTTTTTTAAGAAATAACAAATTATGGATTCTTTCTCCCTTTAACAGATTGATGTTCCTTATATTTAGGATGCACAAAAATATTGACAGCTGCACAAATACATTTTCTATCCAAAAGAGCCAACTAAAGTCACCTTTCATTCCCAAAAATGTCAACTAAATATATTTTGCTAAGGAGCATTGGTGCTCTAGGTAGAATACTTGGGAACTTGTTTTACTGACACAGGTACATGGAGCTACAGAGGTTATTATGGAAGCACAATACTAATTTATCTAGATTTGTCCAAAATAAAAAAACAGAGGACCAGTKATTAGATTGTGCTATTTTTTTCTGGAGCATTCTACTAGTAGAGACTTTGAACTTCAGTGGTTTTAAGGAGTTTGTCATGTGATCAATGATACTAACAGTTGCTAATCTCTTTTCTAAATCTCTTATAATGGTACCATAACACTGTTAAAATAATTTTGCATTTTTTTTTTTTTTTTTTTCTATTTACTGTATTCCCTTTATGTTTTACAAATACATATGAAATTATATAGGACAGTGACTTGTATTCATTTTTTTCCTCATTAGTGTGAGGCACAATACAAAAGCAAATCAGATCTACAGCCAATATTTCTTTCAGCACTGAAACTGTTTCTCAAAATCAAACTCAAAATCAATGCTACTTATCATCTGGCCTAAGATAGTCCCTAAACATACACTAATAATTAAATATTTATGATTTATGCGGTATTTAGAAGATACAAAATAATAACAGCTTTATAAAATATACATATGAACTACTATGACTCTGACACATTTTCAGTCAAAAATAATATTAATAAAAAGGAATTTTCAAGAAGAATGTTTGCTTATTAGGGAAATAGCTTGATTTAGAGCTGATATCTATGTAATGTAATGTGGAATGAAATGTGTCCCTTCTAGAGCAGGAAGGCTGGACTAGATGATCTCTAGAGGTCCCTTCCAACCTCAACCAATTTGTCATTCTGTGATTCTGTGTGGTTCATAAAAGGTAAAATGTTTTTAAATGTAAAATAAAAACCTTATTTGTTATATATCAACTTTGATGAGATAAAATTTCAAAATAATTAGAACTTTAAGAAAGAAATGGAAATATCATCTAACAATATTATTAGTATATATTAACTATGTGGTATAAAGTGTGAAAGAACTTTAAGTCATGAAGATTGTCTCCTCTACTACCTCTGTAGTTTAGGAAATTTTGCAATACAGTGTTTTAAACAGACTTTACATTACATAGTTGGTGGTACACTTCTTCTAAGAAAAGGAAGGAATAATAACTATCCTGAAAGAGGTCGTTGTAAAAATAATTATAGCATGTAGCATCACAGTAGAAGTCTTGTGTGAACTGTAGTATAAAAAAAGGTTAAATAAATAGATGTATATAAAAATTTGCTTTAGATCAAAATAACAGCAATAGATAAATGTCATTTTCTGGTGGTCAGACAGTTATGGTGTTTCCATCTTAATGCTGATCCCACCCTAGAAATCCATTTTTATCACTTTCACATTAAACCTCTGAAAAGTGTTCTGCATGTGATTGCCCTTAAAATGCTGGAAAAATTGCAGCTATTACAAAATGTAATTGCAAATTTCTTGAGTATTTCCTCTTGCAAACATATTACAAATATGTTTTCTGAACTGCAGTAGCAATCAACTGATTTGCAGATACAATTTAAATGTTTTTAACTTGCAAAAAGTTAAATGTCAAGGACTGAGGATAATTGACTGTCTGAACCCCTAGTTTTCTCATATCAGGTCAGTAGGTGCTATTTAATAAGATAGCTATAGATTTAACTTTAAAGGCACTAAGAGGAATATATTTTCAGAGATGGAATTTTAATTATTCTATTTCAGTAGATCACAGTTTAAATGTTTCAAAACCTGCCTGCAGTCTTGCTCTTTGCCAAGATAAATCACAGAATGTTTACAGATAGTTTAAAGTCTTGTCCAAACAAAAGCTAATACCTCCAGCCTAAACAATGTTCAGGAAAGGTGTACATGTTAGAGCGCTATTTTCATTTTTAAAACTTACAAAGGGTTCCCAAATTGACTGACTCATATTTAGTAAAAAATAAACAAAGAAACAAAACAAACAAAATAGAAAGATAAATTCAAAACTAATCAATATTCCAATCACATGAAATGCTTTTCCAAAACTTAAACTGAAGCTAGGCACTATTGGGGATCATCAGTAATAAATAAATTGGGATACTGATATTGAATTGKGCTCTCTCTTCTGAGTTGTAACATATGCATTATGAAATACACATTTCAGAAATGTCTAAGATGGGTCATTAATTCCCTGATCCATTTCTACACGCACTACTGAAACTAAGGTGACCTTTCACAATTCAAGCTAYGCATGCAGAAGAGAGCCATCCTTTATTTCTCCTGGAGAAATTTCATGTTTGAGGGAAACATAGCTGACTGAAGAAATAAGCTTTCAGCTGCTTTCATATCTTAGACTCAATAAGGGATGAGGATAGGATCTTTATCCCATGAGTGAACACCCTGAAGCAGTTATATGTGGTTGGCTTAAAGGAGATCTAAAAATCTCTGTTTGATAGACTGGCCACTTTCCAAATGAGAAATCAATGACTCAGTATTCTGGGTAAAGAAAAGCCAGGATGGTTTATGACTTGTTCTACATAAACTGTGGAGCCAGCCAGGCTCTGAATTACACAGTTGAAGACAGCAAGACTGCAACATCCCACGTCCAATAAGGCCTTCAGCAGCATAAGGTACATCCTGGCAGGACTCTGCACAGACAGTGGCTTGCTAAATTTTGGAATTCAGCCTGTAGAAAGACAAATATATGTAGCAGAGAGAAAGGAAGGAAACAATAGGGGTTTTCAATGTCTAGGACAGTCAGCTAATTAGATGTAGGCTAGTTTTGCTTTCTGGCAGAGTCTTGCAGAAAACATGCGATGGGTAAATTCTGCCTGCAGGACTGGCACATATTTTCATAATTCTTGCCGCATTCTGAACAGCTGAAAACTCAATTTATTTGTCAAAAGCAATGCTTTTTTTTTTTTTTTTTTTTTTTTTAATTATGAGTAATAAACATTCAATGTGGAGACTTTACACTATTTGCTATGCCATTTATATCACACAGGAGAAAATAAAAAAGGACACATACTCCGAAGAAGTCATCATGATACTCAGCCAGAACACTTCTTAAAAAATAAAAAGGAAAGAAAAAGGGCTAGCAGAAGTGATAAATTATAAGAACATCCTCAAACAACCAGACATAAGAGAACCATATTTTCTCCCAGCATTTTGTCATGTTGTTTACAGCAACATGAATGAAATTATTTACCTCCAGTATGCAGGACCCTGAGGAAATTGCATTGAAAAAAAAAAAAAAAAAAAAAAAAAACTTCTTTACATCCTTTAGAATATTTTTTCTGCTTGCACACTCAGGCAGTGTTTTCATCTTTCATGTCTGGCTGACAGCTTTTGAAACCTTACAACCTCACTTATAGTGCTTTTAGTGAACTCACACCAGTGGACTAAACCAAACTATCCTTTATTCAGCACCATATTTCTATGAGCAAATAACAGCCTGTAGGGATTCAGCACATCAGCTGCTCAAAAGATAAACCTACACAGCTTGATGAAGACTCTTCACCACCTTACTGTTGAGAGAAAACGGTTACACATTTCTAATAAATGAAGCAAGAACTGTCATTTTTTTGGCAAACTGATAACTAGCTGTAACAGCCGCATCACCACAAGTCGCTTTTCCAAAGTAATTACCATCAGGCTCCCTGTGGTATGCAGTGTTTAACACATTTCTTCTGTGTTAATGAATGCAAAAGCAGGCAACACCACTATTAGTAATTGCTTTTTATTCGTAGTCCTCATTTTCCAGATAGGTCACATTAAACACAGCCATTAAACAATAGCGGTCGAGATAATCCATACAATGTATGCTGCTTTTGTTTGTTTGTTTGTTTGTGTGTGTATGTGTGTGTGTGTTTGTGTGTGTGTCATTCACCAATCACTTGGTCCAACTTTGAGCCATATGGGGACACAGGGGCTGATGAATGWGAATTGCCAACCTGTAGCACAATTGGGCCAGACAAGTCAAAACCTTAATCAGGTTTCATTCAATTACACTTCAGATCAACAAATCTTGATAGCCAAAACTCCCATTTGAATTTATGCACTAATAATCACTGATGTCAAAGAATGTAATTAAACAATAATGAGTGGGCGTATATTTTGCTAGGCTTCAGACTATTTCTTGACCTCAGCAATTTCCCTTCCATTAGGCAACAAACAGCTGGAAAGCTTGTTTGAATGATGTGTCTTCTTTCACTGTGAGCAAATGCTTGACTTCTATAGGTAACTTTGACTGGGAAACCTGCATGKTCAAATGTCAAACCACAGTTCAGGATAATCTCTTTCCTGATGAGTATTCCAAGAAGGAAAAAAAAAAAAAAAATCTGATTTGACTCCTAATCTGATCAACAACCATTTAAGGAGCTCCCAGATATTTGCTGTCATTAATAAAAACACATATACATATAATTGTCTCTCGCTCTACTCACAGTGTACAGTACAATTTTATTAGTTACTTAACAAGCTTTCCCTTATTTCAGCCATTCTCTTTATAGTCATTTGGTGGATATTTTCTTTCAGTTTTGTAAAGCATGTACATAAGGGATAAAAGAAATAGCTCATAAGCTTCATTGTTCATGGCTGTCTCTGTCTCCAGCAGAAATAGAAGAGACACTGAGAAGTAAACTTCTTTTGTGCATGGTGCTTCCTTCATAGATGATCATGTTAATTTTGACTGAACCAGGAAAAGTCAGATCTGCTGGTTTATTGGTTCTTTATGTATCAATCCTGTATTGATTGACAACACAGGGAAGTTGTCAATCAAATTAAATAAAAGCAAGATTTCCTAAACTCATCTATAAAGCTGTGAGTCATGAATTCTGAATTACCTTAGAGTGGTAAATAAATAATAACTACTAAATACAGATAATGTGTTAAACAACTAAAGCTAGTAAATCACTAGTGACAGAGAGCCTTAAGGTAAATTCTCTTACATTGGCACAGCCCTTTCTCAGAATGTTGTGTTTTATGTCTTCAGACACATACCATGAATTGTACAATTGGTTACTCAGTGTTAAAATCATTTATAAAATACACAAATCTCCATCATTTGACTGCATTTAAATACTGGCTTAGATTTTGCTGAATAATGGATCTCACTGGCAGAGCTAAAGACTTGGTGCACAGACACTGACGTGATGGGCACCACAGAAGTATACATATAAGAGACTGATCAAACAATAAGAAATTCTCTCCACTATGGAACTTCAAGCTACCAAGCTATCAAGCAAAAACAATCCTGGGTCTTCTGGCTGAAAACAAACAAACCAAAAAAAATGTAGAACACAGACAACACCACATTTTAGATACATAAATTGTCCAAAACATGGAGAGTAGCTTGATAAATGTGTRCAAGTTCCTTTGTTCACACATAATTGTCGACTTTCTTAGCAGCAGGAGCTAAGAGCAAACTTTCAGGATGGGTATCTCCAACAACCAAAGACAATTCATTGTAGCACTGACTAGTCAAGATCACCCTTTGACAGGAATCCCAAGATCAAAATCAAATACTGGTAAACTTACTTTCCTAAATTGATGAAAATTATGGCTTTGTGGGATTTGAGATTGCCAACTTGAATTAAATAACCTCTCATATATGTTTGTGTAATACAGCTTAAAACGAACATTTCCCAGACACTGTTTCTAAACAAAGTGTCATAGTACTATGTACAACTGCGTATCTGTCGTATACAAGGGGCAAATGCTGGGCCAAACATTTTTTTTCTTCTGTGTTTTTTTTTTTCTGCATTTATTTTGTTTGTTTGTTTGTTTTATTTTGAACGTGCATTGCTGCTACTTCTTAATTTTCATCTGAAAGTAATTTTGAATTTTTCTAATGCATTAGAAACACCCTTAGAATAAATAAGAAGTAGACATCTCCCAAGTTGTTCTGCAAATAGTTTTCAGAACAATTGAAAACAAAACTAAAGACAATGATCCCAAGAAAGCAGCCTATACCTAGAACTTCAGTAAGAAATTCCACTTTCTATGACTTTGATAAAATGCTACTCATACTACARTGGCACTGTCAGGTTTTTCAGATCTCTAAACTTAATAACAAAACTTTGAAAGTAGTGGTAGTGGTGGTATCGAGAAGTCAACCAAGTACCCTACATCAAACAGGCTGGCCGCATGTGCTTGGAAAATAACAAGGAGGTTCCAGGTGTTGGTTCAAGTGTAATTGTTGTTATTAAACATGGGTTTGCAATAAAAGCTTCTACAAGGACTTGCACATAACCGTGACTGATGGATGTATTTGTAGGCCGTTCAGTTAGCTCCATCAGCTCACTCAAACACATTTTGAACAGATTATGTACTGCAGTACTTCGTAGACCATACATTAAACAAGAGACTTTGCTCTGAGGCGCTGCTTCCCACAATCCATGGGGAAAAGGAAGCAGGAAAAAACAAAACTCATAGAGTTCGACAGCTACCGAGGCAACACTTGCCATTTACAATATAAGCCCAAATATTTTTGCAACACAACTATATATTAATTTAATAAAATACACAATATAGCTCTTATACACTCAACATTTTGGCTCATATGCACTGAATCTGCAATAAATCAATAAAAATATGTCATTTGATGTAAACACACTGAATCTTCTTACATTTGCACATTTAAATGACCATGTGATTTGTGTGGATGTCTAAGACATTTTCACTTTCCTGAGCTATTTTAGTGTCCACAAATGAATAGAAAAGTGTTAATAATGTTAATTTATTTTGTGTATTACCCATAAAGGTAACGTCTTATTTTCAAACTTTTATTTTACTTCAGGATTGTTTAAAACTTACCACTAGCTATTTAAAGTTTGTTGGACACTAAAATGCTAAATAGATATTAAAATCTTTTTTTTTTTTTTTTTAAATCAAGTGAATTAGCTTATGTGTGTGCAGGATAAAATGAACTACATCATTTTACATTTAACCTTAATATGATATGAGATGTTTTACTAATGATCAGGATATGTTTTGCTGAATAATGATCTGGAATGATTTTTTATTTTCTTGTTCTTTTTTTTTTTTTTTTTCTCCATTTCATTATCATGTGGCAGGTAACTTTGTACATAAATGTTTACCACAAACGAATGTTAATGTTTGGTGTCGCTTGGACTACTACAAGAACTCTTGTCAGGACTTTCAGTAGAAGTCTGTGGTGACTGCTGAAATCCACCACAGATCAGAATAATTCAACCCTGTTTTTCTTGGGGTTTATACGTAAACAGTAAAGTCAGCATCAGCTATTGAGGACAGTCTTAAGGTGTCAGACGTACTCCGATTCGACCTTTCTCACACCTTCCTATCAGATTGTCAAAATGGCACCGTCTTTCCTTCTTTCCTTCAGTTCTTAATGTACTTCACTCTGTCCTAATGAAAGTTTGGTCAAAATGAAACCAGTGTTATCTGTCAAAAAGAAAGAGCAGTGAAAAGAACATACTTGTGGGCACTTCAGATGTTCACTAAAAGCCTTAAAACAGCATTGGTCTTCCTTCATTCCTGTAAATCTGTGACAACCAGGGGATTTTTATTTTATTTTATTTTATTTTAATCAGCAGAAGAGGAATGTAACTGCCAGCCTGTCTTTATTTTCCCCCTCACTTCCTCACGGCCACAGGGTCGCTTCCCCGACAGTCCTGCAAGAGCTTGTCAATTTCTCTCACAACTTCTTCAGCATCTACTGACTCCCTGCCGAGATCCCGGGTTGAGCGGTCCAACTGCTCCAGAACAGAGTCCATCTCACTCGAGTCTCGGCTCACTCGGGAATGTACATCAGCAAAGGCCCTGGCCATCTGATCCGATGCAATGAACGGAGGAGCGTCTTTTGACTGTTTACTGGGTGATAGATACTGACTGTCAGTTGACAAGTATTGGCTGCTTGGTTCAGCCAAGGCTCCTGATTTCGCTTCACAACCATCCAGTGGTCCTTTTGTTGAGGTGCAAGGCTCAATGCATGTCTTGGTTGGGCTGCTCGATGCTGAGGGAACCTCCTGAAGCAGAGGACTCAGGGCACGTTTGGCTTTTAAGTAAGGTTTAACATTGGCAATGAGAATAGTGTGCTCTCTCTTGTCTTTCCCAAATGTACAAAAAGTCTTTTTCCCGGTGGGATTCACAGTTTCATAAGTCTCAGTCTCAACATTAGCTTCAACTGTGGGTACAAAGAGATTTGTGCGATAATCTGCATTCTCAGCCTGGCTGGCTGTAGGGAACTGTGGCATCCAACACCTGTCAGAATGACCAAGCACTCGACATTCGTCTGTGCAGTTAACACATTCTTCTTGTTCTGCAAAACAAAGGGGAAAAAGAAAAAAATCTAATTATAAATGGATTTCTCGAAACTAATGGAGAGTCTATGATCAACCTGTATTGGTCTTATTTGACATTTGGCATCTTAATTATGGAGAAAGAAAAAGGTGGTTATAATTTAAATATTTCAGGATTGTATAACCAAATAGTTGAGACGATAAATTTATTTAACTGTATTCTCTAGGTATTAAAGCATTTGCACAGCCCAAAGGAAGTAAAAAGGGGTCATTAGAGAACCATTCTCAGTGGAATTGAGCTTCATCTGTAAACTAATCTGCTGTAGAAATCTGTTAGGCTTTGTTCTGTACAACTCATCCTAGAAAATAGTGAACAGTACTTAAGGAACTCAAAAGGCATTATCAGGATTAATTTTTCAAATCAAATAACTCAGCAATGACTGCCTTTCTGGAAATACAAACACTTCATAAAAATCAGCAAGCTGCATTTTTATTTTTGTCACCTCCATTCTGTTTGTAATTGTTATGTTGTGTGACAGCCACAAAATAAAAAGGGTTTCTTAAAAAGCCTACTTTTCCTACTGAGAACAGAGAACTAGAATTTTCCATCAGTATGCATTAAATATAAGCTTGTCAAAAAGTGCATATTGCAATTTTATTAGACATGAGTATGGATCATGTAATCAGTTTTTCCCTTTTTTGTTTTGGTGCAAGTGAAAATGGATTTGCTCAATACATACAATTTGAAAGAATGACAAACCGTGACACACTATTTGAACTGATAATGTTTTCAGACAGGATTTCTTTTTCTTATGTCTTTCAAATAATATAGTTAAATAAGATTTTTTTATTATTATTCTCTACATTTTTAGAACATAGATGTCAATACTTCCTAACCTATAATTCTATTGCAAGGCATAAAAAATCCTCCGCTTTAAAAATCTTACTTTGCCTGTCATTTTACATGATATAATGCGTTTGCATCACCATTCCTCGTATATTAATTGTATATATGACTCCAACTCAATATCAAAAAGCTGGAAAATTCCACAAATATCTCTTAAATCTGTATTTTAGAAATGCTTAAATCTGATACAAGTCACCTTAAATCTGATGCAAATTACCTTCTCTTTCTCCTTCATCTTTGAGCTTTCTAGACAATATAGATAGAATAAATCCTTTTATCCAAACCTCTAGTTTTGAGTCATTTATAAGCTGATTTTTAACCACTGGATATTTTAACCCACAGAATGGAAAGGTGGAATTTAAAAACAAACTCATAGAAATCTTTTAGTATCTATTAAAAAAACACAAGATTCATGAGCAGCTACACTGCAAAGCTCAAACACAGGAGAAATGCTAATGTTCGTCTATCAGAATTAAACAGTGTAAATAGTTTTGACTGTTCACATTTCTGAAAGACATATGAATAAAATGTGAGTTAAATTTAACTGAAATTGTGTTATGCCATGATGATAGGCTAAATTAGAGAGAGATAATTTACTCAGATCTGATATTTACTAATGATTATGCACATTCCTGTGAACAACTATATTCCTTATATATGTTCCTTGCTTTGAAAAGTTACAAATCTAAAATCATTATAAGACTAGGGAAAAAAAAAAAAAAAAAAAAGAAGAAGAAAAGAAAAGAAGAAAACAAGAGCATTTAACTACTCTTGTAAGGAAGGAGAAAAACAAAGAGTGATTTTTTTTGGACTGCAATAGAAAGATAAGCAAAGGTGAAACTTGTAGAAATACTCTAGCAAAAATAAGCTGCATACTGTTTTTATTGTACAGCATAGGGAAAAACAGGGAGATAAAAATACCCCCAACACTGAAACTGCAACATAGTGACAAAACAGTGAAGAGTTCAAGAAAAAGATTTTTGCAGTTTAAAAAGAGAAATAGGACAAAAATATTGGAGAGGAAGGTTCATGGTTTTAGCAACTTCTAGTCAGGCTTTAAGTTTTGTCATACAGAAAAATAAATATACATACAAACAAACACAAATCAAACCCTACTCATAACCAAGCTCTTTCAATGGYAATGCTAGAACTTTACATTTTACCAATGTACATTAATAATTTAGTTCACTCTTTTTATCTTCCTCCTGATCCTACAGAGTGAACTGGTGGTAACCTCATCATCTAGCTTTAAAAGTGGACCTGTGTAGTAATACAAAATAATAGTTGACTTGTTTAGATTTCTCCCTAACACATTTCTAAAATTGTTTTCCTGTTACATTACATAGAAAATGCCCAACATTGCAGACAAAAGCTTTCTGGCACTTGTAAGGGACTCCCTAAACAATTAATCCATTTCCCAACTAACTGTTTAATTTTGCAAACTTAGCAAGCCTTTTGTGCCAACTTATGCATAATTTTGGGCCCTTTTTAACAGAAAGCAAAAATAATAACTCTGTAAAATGTTGCATTTTTTAGATTACATAAAATACTCTGAACCTGTGGACCAAGTCTCTCTCTGCTGCTTTCTCCATTTTTAATTATTCCATCAAAGTGAGATTCCTCCTTGCTTCTCATAGGGAAAAAAAAAAAAAAAAAAAAAAGTAGCACTTGCTGTAAACTTTCTAACCATATTTGATATGTCAAGAGCTGTACTGGGGGAGCATCAGTAGGACACCTTTTAGAGGATTTCAGTATATGACAGACTCTTTCCTCAAACTACTGAAAAGATGGCTGAAGAAGGCAGTTCTTCCTACCTTTCCAGTACTGCTTYTGTGTCAAATTATCTAAAAATGCATTAAATATATATTCCTGCGTGTATAACAATTTTTCAAACTAAATTAAACATATATTTACAAATATAAAACACACTGTATAATGTAGACAATAGGATTTTTTTTCCACTGTTGCACTGGCAAAATTATATTTGGCAGAATTTGCAAAACTATCTGTGTTAAAAAAATAATTAACACAAATTATTCCCAGATCAAAATGGTCAAGCTATAGATGAAAAGATCAAAAAAGTTCTCAGATACTGAAAACATTTGACAGAATGTTAACTAGAGATTTCATAGARTGCTCAGTCCTGTGCCAAAAACTATGCTTTGAGATTTTCAAAACCAATTAGGCTAATTTTGTAACCAATTAAGTTTTAAGATTTGAAATTCTCGGCTTTCATGCATGTGTATCCATATACACTGGGTGTGAGGAACTCTTATGCAGTATTTGCATTATTCATTCCTGACAATAAACATACAAAGTTTACTGGCAATCTCCCGAAGTAAAAGAGAGATATATCATATATCATATATTGCATCTCATATCTCTCTTTCCGATTTCATTTCCTGCAATTGCTAAAGCAGTTTTTATACTTGCATTCTTACTCACAGTATTGACTAACTTTCCATTTCTGCTCCATGGGCATCCTAGACATGACTGAATTAAATATGAAGCCAAAAAAAGAAGACAGTTTTGTGAGGAAATGAATACAGGATGACCTTGAAGTCAAAACCACCTGCACTGAGTAAACTTTGGCATTCTAGTTGTAAAAATCTGCTTTTTTTTTGCCTTTTTTTTTAAATTCACTCTTTTATGTCATATCTTACGAAGCAGGGTTTGAGTATTGATTGAGTATATTATAAACTGTTCATCTCACTTTTAGCCTGTAACTCTGGCTACAGCCAGCAGAAAGTGAAGAAAATCTAACAGGAGCTTTTGAAGCAGCAGCAGAGACTATAAACACAAAGTGAACTACCACCACCAAGGGCTAAATTAGTGGTTAGGAGATAATAGAATCAATTCAAAGGTAAATATATTATACCTTTGTATGTATTTATATGTACACATAGGGGTGCACATGTGTTCATACATATACATATAGATAGGTCATACACAGGGCTGTAGAGTAATCAGTCTTTATCTCTACAACCCTTGACAGTCCAAAAGTGTACAATAAACAGAAGCAGCCTGGAGGTTTTCCTAACTCTCTGGAGCTTTTAGGGTAAACAGTCAGAAATGCTTTATGCACTTTAGGGAGAACATATGCAAAAATAGAACTGCTAAATTATCAGCCACAGAAAGAAAAGGAAACAAGCTATCTGGAAACAACAGCCACCTAGATAGAAAATTTATACTCAAAAAAATTTAAGATGGGGTAGGAAGAAACTTACATTGGCAAAATATAAATTGCAAACAAGGTATGTATTTTGGTGCAAAATATGACATACCTTTCGCATTTTATTCTATTTTACCAGAGAAACTATATTTAACATCTGCCTTCTGCAGCAAGCTTAAAGCAAAAAAATCTTTTGTTTTTATTTCCTACTCTTTTCTCATAAATATTTTGAACATAATTTAATAAAGATACTCATTTCATCCTAACGGTAGTGCACTATAAAGTTAATTAACTAATATTTTAGATAGCTCTCTCCTTTCAATGGCTGAAGCTGAGATATCATAGTTTGACTCATTAATTATAAGAAATTTGCATAATGATAACAAAGACAAAATGCAAGTTTTATTTTTATTTATTTTTTTTAACAATATAGCATAACTGGCTTCATAAGTACTTTACTTTTTCACTTTAATTGGACACTAATTCTTTAAATTAAACACACATACAAAGTTGAAAAGTAGATTAAAAGTAAATAATCCATGTACATGAAACCTCAGCATACAAACATGTAATACTTCAAAATATTTCATGTTCTAAGCTTATAATATGAAAATCACTTTAGTCTGTATATAATGTAATAAATCTAATACTGCATATAATTTAATAATATAATTTAATATTGATCACATTTTGAAATCATATTTTGATTGGAAAAAAAAAAAAGATAACCCTATTCTAAACCTTTTTGCACATGAGCAAAGTAGACAAAGTTTAGTCTAGTATGATTTATAAAGTCTGACCTGGTAGTGTTTGTTCAAGTGCATTCTTTCCTGAGATCTTTTTACTCAGACTGTATAAAAAAATGTAGTTTTGTATTGCTAGGTATTCATGGATGAAGGTTAAATAAGGCTATGATTAAATATGTACATAAATAACACCGAATGTTTTAAAATGTCATAAGCTTTTATTATGCTTTATTGTCCCAGGAGATCCTAGTGTAATTTTCATATATCTCTCTCTCTCATTTACTCCTTTTTTTTTTTTTTTGTCCCTTTACACAGGTGACACCTAGTTTTTATTACTGCATTAACACCTCAATCTAATAGACTTTTTTTTTTTTTTCCTTCCCTCTTCTTCTCTAGTAATACGGAAGCTAAGTAATAATCAGTAATTGGAAGGAATAGCTCACTGGAATGGCTCAGTGACTAAGAGCTCCAAATGAAAATTAGACTGAAGGACCGAGCCCAAAATGTGAATGTTCCTCTCTCTGAAGCATACAGTTCTAGACTGCTGATACTCTCCACCCTCACCCTTGAAGTGCTCTGTTCTTCACTGCATTACACAGTGAATGACAATTCACTTTTTTTTTCTGACCTTTGTCTCACATTACAAAGAAAATGATCTGCCTTTGAATGCATGCATGGACCTCACACTGACTTGCCTAGCAGAAAGGCTCATTTGACACCTGATTTTGTGAATTCATAGGCATTATTAAAAGTATTTTCATTTAACTGCCATTCAATAATGAAATAAGTTCTAAAATTCTATGTAGCATCTATATCCCTAGCCTAACCACAAACACACTATGTGAGAAAAACAGCATTTGTTTTAAACCAATCAGTTTTATATATTTTAATATCTTGAAATGGAAATGAAGGACCTGAATTTCATGTACATACGTATAAACAGATGGACAATATATCTAATGTCCAAAAGAGAAAATAAGTAACTCCCTCTTTAAAAAATAGAGAGAATAATTCCTGTAATATGATCAGAAAACCTCCCAGAATAATATGAAATGGTGTCATATTTATGATTCAAGGTAGACAACTGCCTTTACTGAAAAAAAGAAAAAAAAGAAAAAAGCAAGACAGAAAGTAGATATTTATTACAGGAGGAAAACAACAGGCATCTTTAACATGTCCTAAGCACTAGGGCTACATGACACTTCTGACGAGAACAATCAGCTAAAGAACTACTACTGAGGTTGGATTTCTGCTTAATTACAATTGATTTTGACATAAATAAGCAGAGGTAAACAAATGCTTCTATACACATGCTTGCTGTTATTAAACAAAGCTGTCTCCAATCTGAGTATTTATATTGGCTTGGCTGCTTAAAGGTTCCTTTCAGTTAGGCAAAGAAATTAGGTATCTCAGAATGGCATAATGACTGGCAGTAAAATAAGAATATGCTGACACTTTTTGCGAAACCTCTTGGATCACAAGGTCTTTTCTTGACACTAGAAATAGAAGCTTTTTGAGGTCTGTAATCCTGATTCAGAGTTTCTACCTTGCTTTTCTTTGCTAGTTTTCTGGTTATGGTATAAACAGAATATATTTCTCATATTGACAATCTATAAAGTACTTCAAAAGCAATAAACAGCTTTTGGGCCATAGATTTAATTCTAGTTCACAGTTTTCCTGGACCATAAATATGGCAGGAATATTGTAGAATAGCATTAAACACTACAGAACAGTTAACATTTTTTTTTCACAGAAGTATGCTTTAAATTCACATTTATGATTTAGTGGCAATCATATTTCTGTATTTAAAGACAGCATAAAAGCAAGAAAACATTTCCATTACCTGAAAATTTTCCTTCCTCACAGCGGGCTGGTCCACAGATCCCAATGATGGGTCTTTGGCCTCTGCCTTGCTGTTCTGGAGGAATATAAGACCTGTGAGTCACAGACAGGGATAGGCTCTGCTTCCAACATTCCCAGCAATGTCAAAACTTCCCCATTAGAAAAAAAAAAAAAAAATCTATCTAGCAGAACTCATGGCCCTTGAAATTATTCAGAGAGGCAAGGACATTCTGAGTACCAGCAAGKGTGTCCCACATCCTGCCCATTAGATGAGAAAGGTAAGGGGCTTAGAATGAACACTCAGATTTGGCTTCCAAGATCTGCCTATAAGTTCCTAGAAAATCTGGGACCTACTATCATTCCTGCCTGTTGGCTTATGCTGGATGAAAGACTCTAGGAAAGTTGAAAAGTGACTATGATATCTCTCCCATCCACTGAAAGAGCTTTCTAGCCCACTGCAGTAGGGAGTAAGGTGTAGGATTTGTCTGTGCCAGCCCTGCATTCATCTGAGGAACTTTATGGAGAAACTTTACTGGTTTGTCTTATAAACCCTTATTTAAAAACATTACATTCTTAAACAGTAGACCTTTGTTGACCAAGAGCAGTTTCCTGGAAAAGAAGAGAAAGAAGACTGGAGAAGTTAACAGATGAGAATATCTCTGCTGATCRATCTGTTGGAAAGAACATTTTTAATGCAGCATATTTTCCTTGTCCTGATCAAAGTACTTCCACAGATTTTAAAGAGAAATTGCTTCTAAAATGGCCTGTTAAAATGGAATAACTCTTAACCTGAAATTTAATCGAATTTGTGCAATCATTTACAGATATCGCATGGCATTCACATGCTTTTTTTATTGACTTACTTCATTGTGCGCTAGTCATAATTGTAACAGTGGTAATTTCCATATGTAATTTGTAATATTTAGTAAATCCTAGCGCTCTATTTTGTACTGTGGCAATGCTTAGGAATTCAGTCAGGAACTAGCCTATTGTGCCGTATCCTATTCAACTAATATTAGATTGTACAGTTACAGGCAAGAGTCAACAAGTGATTATGGCAAACAAAAGCTATGAATGGGAAGGAAAGACAACATTAATGAAAATATAATTGGGTTGTCGGCAGTTCCTGAGCATGCCAGTGTGAAAACTCCATAATTTAAGGAAGCTTTCCCCATCTGTCACACCATCAAGCCACCAATGATTAGCTATATGTTACACCATCGAGTCCTCTTCTGTGGCTATCAATTATCTCAGTATTCAAATCTTTAATTAGAAGATACTAAGCTTTTTGCTTTGTCAGCTTCTCTAAAAGTTGGAGATGACAACTTGTTTACAGGCTTTGACTGATGAGGATGCCACTGAGGGAAATAAGATTTCTGAAGCAATCTTTTTTTCTATATCCTTTCAATGGCTCTGTTTGTATCCTGATTGTCTTAAATGGAAGTATATGAAGTTCTGTGTCTAAGCATGATTTTGTCCAATACAGAATCATTGCATTAAAGTATTTTAAATGCTATCATTTTTCCTTTATGAAGCCTCACAAAAAAAAAAAAAAAAAAAAAAAAAAAAAAAAAAAAAGTCCAAAGGCAATTCAAAAACTAAGCCATCCTAAATTTGGCTAATTTTGAGAGACTACTGCTTCCCTCATGTTCCTGCCAGCATGTCTGGATTTACATTTAAAATCTCTTTTACCAGACAAAACAAGACCATGCGTGTTTTACACTGATAGATGGAAAAGCTCACTAAGTATCATTCTCTACTTCAAAAGGCTGATGTTGCACAAGGGTCATACACTTTGGACTTCATGGGAGGCAAAAAGCATCTGACAGAATAAAAGGCAAAATGCCCTTTCATGATTCTGCTTTCAGAAAAACGCTGGCTATACAGTAGTCCAGTCTTCTCAAGGAACCCTCACTTGGACATAAAATGGGAAAAAAGGACATATAGGGAAAAAAAAAAAAAAAAAAAAAAAAAGATTCAACACTTTATTTTGGAATCCTGCCTATGTCATGATATACAACATATGCACATTCTTGAATATTATTGTTAGGCTAAATGGTGTCTTGGATTATTGTTTAGCAGTTTGTTGGTAATATCTTTTATTGCTACCTTCAAAATCAATTTCCAGGATGTGGAATCAATTTCCATGTGCCAATTTGTCAATCACCTGAATTCTTTCAATAATTTGAGTTTCATAATGCTACTTCACATTCTGCCTGCGTGCTGCTCCAATTAGATCAGTCAGAAAGAATAATTAAGAATGCTGTTTCGGAATCTGATATTACAAGTATAGGTAGTTTGGTAAAGAGAACTGCATAGGTAAACTGAGTCAATATATTCTCAGGTCCTATATGAACTGTAAATGAATCTCTTGAGAGATACTTACTGAAGATGATTTCAGAGCATTCATGCCTTCACTTTCCCAGATACTTCACCAAGAACCCTGAGTTCCAGATTGCTTTGTATATATATATATATATATATATTTTTTCAGGATCATAATTTTGAAACTATGGAGCTTAAGAACACTAATGCACAAGATATCCAAGAAAATCAGGAGGTATTCAGAAGTCTTTTGATTTACTGGAACCTATCACTGATGTAAACTTAGTTTACAGTTCCATGTATGATTTCCACTGTAATTTCCTTGCTTTTGATATTAACAGTTGCCCTATCCTCCTAGTCCTTTTCTTGTCTGGGAAGAAAAGGGATAAGATATCTACAGGCATTTTTAGCTTGATTCTTAGCATAACAGGTAATGAGAAGCAGAGAAAACTGGGACTCAATAGTTATTTCATCTTTTTTTTTTTTTTTTTTTAAGTTTCTGGGTTTCATAATAATAATAAAAAAGTAGTTTAGTTTTGTTTTGTTTTGGTTTGGTTTGCTTTTTGGGGGGGGAGGAGGGGAGACTGTTTTTCTGTTTGTTTGAGTTTTTTTGAAAAACAGAATTTCTTTAATTCTCAAGGAGGCAAAACCTGTGTGAAATAAACCCGTGTGTTTCACAATGTGTGAAAGAAAGGCTCAGTCTGATCTTGCACAAATTCTGTAAGGATTAAAGTTGGAAAAAAGAGTTGGGGAAAAAAATTAAAATCTTTTTTTTTTTTTTTCCTTTAGTCTACCTGTTACTGTACATGTTCAGGATGTACCATACTTCTCAGGTATATAACAAGCAGTTTAGCAGAGCTCTAAACATATTTGCAAGCTCTCAAGTGGCTCTGAAGTTCCAGCTGAAGATGGATACAAGGCAGCTAATTTGCTACCACCAAGGGAAAATGTTGTAACATAAAAACATTCCCTCCCTTAGCTTCAAAACTGTGGAGTGTCTAGGGAGCCAAAGTATTTGTAGAGTTGATACCATGCATATGCTTACACTGTAACTGCTACATGCATACATCTGGCATCTGTCTCTGTGTTAAACAGTCTTAATTGCCCCTAGTTTTACCATGTAAAAAAACTCTAACCTGGGTTGTTAATACAAAGGAAATAAATTAAAAGGATGTGTGTGATTTTGTAGAATTATTTTTGCATCATTGGCAAGATTTGCAAAAGCTCTGCACTATGGATATCAGCAAAATATTTTACTTTTGAATATCTTTAAATAGAAATTGTGCACTTTTCTTAGCATATCATTTGGCATTTCATACAGTCTCTTAAAAAAACAGAGTGGTTTCCTCTAGAAATAGTTTATGTGGAACTGTTTTACATTTTTTTTCTCACTGCTTTTTTTTCTTATTTATTCCTCCTTCCTCTTTCACCCACATCAGACTTCAGAAGACCTTATTATTTGCCAGACAAAGCAGGATCAATTTTGAATAGGTGTCATAAATGTTTTCAGGTTCTATTAGGAGGTACTTTATGTGTTTAGCATATTATTCAGCTCACTGTTGGCAGTAAAGTCAAGACTTAGGAAAAGCACTTTATTTGAGATGTCAAATATTTTTAAAAGATCAAAGATCATGGCAAAAGCTGCTCCTAGTTTTGCAAGTAAACATATGCAGAAAAATTATATTCTAAAAGATAGAGGTAACTAATGCTATGAAAAAAAAAAAAAATGAAGATCTTCTGAAATTAATTTAACAGTTGCACCAATGCTCACATTAAAAATGGCAAAGTGAAAAGTGTTTTTAACTGAGAAAATATAGATAAGTAGGTTCTTTCTGGGGAGAGGAAAGAAAAAAGCACTGTGAATTTGACATCTGACATTGCTCACAATAGAAATATATATATGTGTATGTAAATATATATAATGTTAAAGTTGTTTCTTTTGCTGAGATTTCCTTTTATGAACAAGGCCATAAAGCAGAGGCCTAGGCAACTGTACTTGCATCAGTATGCAATTCAGGGGAAAAGAAAAAAGTGTTCCCACGCTTAGGTCTTCTGAAGARCCCTATTTCTAAACCTAATGTGATCCTTCCTAATTGCTCAGTTTATATTAAGTTCTGTTTAAGTTATTACTGTGAATTACGGAAATGTGTTGGCCTGCACAGTACAGAAACACTCCCTGGAAGTTGAAGAATTAAATTACAGATACCYCACTAGACTTGGGTAAACCTGCAGCTACTACAGTGCACACCGAATCCCAGAAAGCACAGATGGGCTTGTCTCTGATATAGTTTTTCATCCCTCTTGCTTGATCTTTCCTATCATGCAACAGAAAAGCAAGCAAGAGGGAATTTAAGCTAATCTAGCATTTAAGGAATTCTGGGAGAGCTTTTGAAAATCTTCGAAAAGAAGAACACAGGAAGTGGGCTCAGGCTCTGAATCCTTCCATCACACGCTTAACAGAAGCTATAAGAGAGAGACTAATCTAATTCAAGAAACAGAGATTAAATGATTAAAATTAGCCTTGAATTCTCATGCTGTCTTTACGTACAATGGTGAAAGATGGCTTTGAAGAGCCATTCAGGATGCCTGTGGTAGGCCCAGATCTAAAACACCTCCCAAACAGGCCTACCTATCTTCACTTAATATGTAGGGTGTTAGAGATGCGAAGTTACCCATTTAGTGTTAGAATCATGGCTATCATTCTAACTTTTCCTATTAGCTGGATGAAGCTTTTCAGCACTCAGCAGATTG